CCCCAGGGCCCCTCCTTGAGCCTAAACTTGCCAGAGTGGACCACTCTTGTGTTGCCCGCAGAACTTTCTGTGGCACCTAAGCAAGCAGCAGGAGCCATCTTTAACTCCTCTCTTTCCCCTCTCTAGGGCATTAGTTCCTCCTGGCCCCTCTGCCTGCCCATCTCCATCCACTTCCTCTGTCCAGGCCACAGCCTCCTATGCCCTCTCCCTTCTTCCGTGGTTCACCTTTGCTCACTGCCCACCTGGCTGTCAGCGGGACTTCGAGGCCTCAGGCCCCTCCAGAGCCCCTCTGAGTACCACTCTGCAGGGCTTCCCGATTCACTCCCAGTCAAAGCTGAAGTCCTCCCCTGGCCTTCCAGGTCCTCCGTGATCCCACTCTCTCGGGCAGCTACTCTGGCTCTGTCACTCTGCTCAGAATCATTGGTTTCCTTTTTTTTTTTTTTTTTCCTGTACTGGGGATCGAACCTAGGGCCTTTGCACTGAACTATATTCCTAACCCTTTTTTCATTTTTTATTTTGAGACAGGGAGTTGCTAAATTCCCCAGGCTGGGCTCAAATTTAGAATCCTCCCTTCCACTGCCTCCCAGAGTGCTGGGATTACAGGTGTGAGCCACCACGCCAGGCTCACTGCTTTCCTTCTTGTTCCATAAATGCAGCAAGGATGTTCTCACCACAGCCCTTTGCTTTGATTTTGGCTTTCCTTGGTCTCACATTTCCCAGAATCCCATAGAACTCCCTCCCTGCTTCTGGTCTCCACCCAACTGTCCCCTCTTCCTAAGAGCACAGCCTGACCCGGCACACTCAACCTTCCCACTGACTTCGGCTTCAATTTCCCTCCCTTGCTACCTGAATGCAGTACTGTGTTCACTCCTGCATCTGCTCCTCATCTCTGCCTCACGGTGACAGCTCCAGGAGATCGGCAAGGGGTTCTCCTTGGAGCACCCACAGGCCTGAGGCAGACAGTCCTAGAGCACAAGCTGACTTGGTCTAACCTGTGCATTGAAGGGAGTTAGTCCTTCCTGAGTAATCTCATTACTTCACTGTTTCCCAAACTTTCAAGTTCTGCCTACCACTTTCAGGACTTTGACCCTGTCTGTGAACCACCTGAAAGTTTTTCATTTAATATATTTCTCTTTTCTG